TGAGTTTAATTTCTATACCGAAGTTTTCGGTTTTCGTTCCTGGTGTGAAGCCAGGATGCTCTGGTTTGGAACCTGGACATTTCGAACAGAAAAAGTGTTACCGCTTTTTAATGCTATTCGGACGCGTTAGTATTTTAAGGGTTTTACATTAGTGTATTTTGTAAACGACGCTGCGGTCTGTTTAAGGTTTGTTTGTGAAAATTACTTGTGAAAATTTTAATATTTGCTTATTTTGGGCTTATTTGAAATGTAAGTACATTTAAATTGTGTCTTAGTGCATAACTAATGAGTAAATTCGTTTCTTTTTACGGACACCACCTTGAATTGCGCTCCAGATGCCGGGAAACTAAGGATCTTGCTATTGGCTTGCATTTTTTCTGACCGCGGCCAGCGCAATGTTTACTTCAATATCAGCGTCCCCGACCAAACTCCGGTGTTCATCTGGACGTCGACCACTCTGGAGATGATCAGCGACATAAGCGGTAAAACGGCTGCATTTGCCCAAATATGCATACACACGTACATATTTTGTACATGTATTGTATTTATGTTTATTTGTTAAATTAAAAATTACCTTCAGTAATTTATAAAAATGTAAAAAATATTTTTAATAATATATGAAAAGTACAGAACAACATTTTTTGAATTTTGTCTCTTTTATACGGGGTATAATATTTATACTGGCATTATACTAAATAGTATACAAAATAAACTAGCACCCTAAATTTCAGTACACTGAGTGAGTATAAACTGTACACTCGTTAGTTTAAACTTGACAACTTCGAAAGTTTCATTTTTATACTTTCGAAGTCCATTAGTTTAATACTCAGAGTATCGAGAAATTTTTGACACTCAATAGTTTACTTTTAATGTAGAAATAGTTTACTTTCTATGATCATTTTTTTTTGGGTGTATATATAAGGTTACTTAACTTGGCAAAAATCACACAGCAGAGGCTCTAGAACTTTGGTATCTGAGTGATAAACATAGATACTTTCTGTTCTGTTTGTTGCGGTTTGTTGATGATGTCTTGTCTGTCTTTTTCTAGAGACTGGGTCAACAACATGTCAAGTGCAAGGAGTGGGGTGGAGTAGAGAATTAAGGGGTAGAAGAGGCAAAAAAGTAGGAGGCCGTATATGCAGAAGATACTCCCCCTCATTGTGTCTTTATGTTTGCGGTGCTTGTGTATTTTCTTTGTCTGTTGTGATAAGCGAGGGAGGCGTTCGATAAGCAAACAATATACATACAACAAATAACAAAGAGAAGTGGAGAAAGAGGGCGGTGAGAATCGGGAAGAGAATTCGAGGAGTTGCGACTCTCTTGGGCTCTCTGTAACGTTTTCCGCTCAGGATTCTCTGTTTTGCTTGCCTCATTCTCGCTTCATTGGGGGACATTGATCCCATTTTCCCCAGTCCCAATTTTCCGAACCCTTTTTTCCACCCAGTCCCACAGCCCCTCCCCCTGTTATGTGTGTCACTTCCGCATGCAGCGGATGTCTTTCAAAATGGCACACGACATGTTGCCTCCGGTCCCAAATCGCACCTGTGCCCCGCCCCTTTTCAGTTACACCTTTTCGCAGCATTTAACAATTTCCCGACTAATTGCAAATTTCTTTTGCAAATATCACAACTCGTATTTGTTTGAGAAAATCATTTTTAGCACAGAGAGAGAAAAGTGTTTTAGAGTTCAGTTTGCTCTACATAATCATTGAGCTTTCTTTATAACTGTGCTGTGAATTGTATTGTATTTCATACCCTTTTACTCTCCCTGTGTAAATTAACATACAAATATACATAGCTGACTGCAATATCTCACTTTGCAGTCATCTTTTTCCACAATTTCAACTTGTCCACGAAAGACAATAAAAACGGAATCAAATGGCCAAAAATGACATCAGACGGAACAGCCAACTAAAGCCCAAGCATTTTCACACGACCCATGGCCATTTGAGAACCCTATTCTTTGCTCTAATTGGAGGGGTAGTAAAATAAGATACGGCACTAAAAGCGTCTATGACACTACCAAAGATACGAATAGGTTCTGTGGCTAAAGCCAACTGTGAGATATTTTAGCCAGAAGGAATTTATAACTTAGATGGCCTTGATTTGTTGTTGGGGTGCTTGGGTTTAGAGAATGAGCTCATAGAAGGTCAAGGGTCATATGGTCAAAAATGTGGACAACAAATGAAACAATAGGGGTCTGAAAAAAGGTTGTACATTCCAGAAATGAGAAAAGGATTTGAGCACAAATATGTAGGACTCTTGGCTGATAATACTGAATTATTCAAGACAAAAAAATGATAGTTTAATACAATTGCCAACAACTAATAATAAAGTAATTAAAGTAAAATATTTTATTGTTAATACAAAAATGGTCTTCTTTTAATTTGCTTTCGTCACACCGTTAATCGGATTTAGATTCAACCAAAACTAAAAGCTCTTTTGCTACTTAAACTTTTTGCAATTCCAAAATTATAATTGTTAGGCAATGAACTTGGCTAATGAAAAAAACAAACATAAAGCTTTAACAGTTAAACAAACTAGAAGTGTTAAAGTATAGGTAGTTTTTTTTCGAGACAACGATATTTAAAATTATACAAATTTGAGTGATCATAAAAATCTTGGCGGAAAGGTGTCAACAAAATGTTTTCTGATCATAAACCCATCGGGTAAATAAGACTCGACCATATATTACTTATATATGACATGAATCTTGACTGGGCGATAAGGTGTTTTGCCAATTAAAACTGGAACCGAGCACTTATCGAGTGGGTTTTCAAGTGGTTAAACTGACGTGGTGGCTGGCTTTCATTATCGATAAGAATCGAAGTTTATCAACAAGAGTTACCTTTATTAAACAATTTAGTTGTCAGGGTGGCTCGAGTGGTTCGCGATAAGACTGAACCCTGAAAAATAAGACCAAATCCCGCCCGTGACGTTTAACTGACGATGATTAATTCGGTTTTTTTCAAGTGCAGCCAGAAAAATAAGATTAGATGGAAACGTGTCCCCGAAATTGACGTCAAAATAACAGAGATCGAGGAAATCGTGATTTTCGTATCCATTCTGATCTGATTTAAAGCCGATCGCAGTTGGTTTGTGTGATTCTTGGCCTTGTCAATGGATCCGACGTAAACTCGATTAACCTCCCCTGATTCTTGTTTCATTCAAAGTTAAGTTGGGCTATCGCGCTAATTGTTATTAATTATGGCTAAGACTGGAAAATAGATTTATTAACAATGAAATCCGAATCGAATCGGCCAGACTCAGTTGGAGTCAACTCGATTCGGCAGAAATCGCATTCAAGTCTTAACAATCGACAAACAAAAAACAAAATAATTATTCGGGATGTGTGTTTTGTTTTTTTGAGCCACTTGTTTTGACAGGCGAAGGTGGCTGATTCACAGAAGATTATATCAAATTTAAGCAAAAAGAATATTAAAAAAGTCCCCTTTATCAGAAACATCTCTCTCCCAGTATCGCCCCATCTCATTCTGCTTCGGCTGCCAGCGAAACCTGAACCTGAACCGTTTGCTTCCTACCGGTTCTAACCGGTACGAATCGCCTTGCATCGCAGTTGTTACCACAATTCCACTACCAACAAACAACTCAACAACAACGCCGCATCCACAACAAGTCACTGCAAATTGAATTAAAATAATTTCTAGTTTTACTGGCACGCAAGACGTCTTAATATCATTTGGTTATTTTCTCAGTATTTTTTGGGATTTGTTTTGATTTTGTGCTTTGTCCAAAACCGTTTAGTTTGCTCGGTCACTGTATAAATTTGAATAACTTATGCAAATTTTGGAGAAGTACGTTGTGGAGGTGTGTCTCGTCTTCCAACACAAAACAAAAATGTTTACTAAATGATTGAAACGAAAATGGTTTTTAAAGACCTTCAAAATGTTTTAAAGAAAATTTAAAAATAAATGCAAGGATTGAAATTCAAATTATTCGGTGGCACTTTAAACCCGATTAAATCATTTTGTACAATGTTTTCTTTGTTAAGCTAACCAAATTCTTATACATAGCAAAATAAAAAATTAATAATCAAAAGTGGCAAATTATACAGTAAACTTTATTAGGGTAATTTCAGACCACATTCAAGAAAAGCTTCAGTAGCTTTAAGATATTTTGATATCAATTTGAATATCAATAACACTAAAAAAGATTATACATTAATTGGAATACAAGTTTTTAAAAAGGTCAATAAACAAATAAAATATTATCTTTTGTGTACCTATAAAATAACATTTTTTTTGTAAAGTACCACGATAACAACAAATTTAAGTATACATATAAAAAACTGACCTAACTGCCTTTCGAAAAAAATTCCAAGTGGAATTACTTCCTACTATTTGCTCACAATGGAATATTTTGTTTCGTTTGGCACCCAGTGCCCTACATTCTTTTTTTCAAGGGCTCCAAACAACATTGGGTATTTCTGTTGTTGTTTATTTTCGTCATCGAGAAAAGCGAATGCAAAACAGATCAAATTATACATATCATTAAAAATACGTATCTCACTCACACAAGCAGAGACAAAAAATGTGTTTTGATAAAAAATGTTTGTGGATACTCATTGGACGACAAAACAAAAGCTAAGCAGTGAAAAAAAAATATAAATAAAAATCAACACTTGTTGATTTGAGTTAATGCCGGTGAAACGCTTGCCAAAACACCGCCATCTAATATATGACTTTGGTGGCAGCGGTTTTAACCGGATCTGTCAATATACTATCAGATCTTGTAACGGACCATTAAAATGCACTTTCGGTTAAGTAAACAGTTTTCTCTGCCCCTTTGATAACAGACCCCGGCGATAAGGAAGCCTATTTAAAGGCGAAACTATCGATAAAGCTAAGTAGGCAAAATTGGCGTTTAAAAACACATTTTGTAAAGTTCTCCCACCCGCTCCACAAGTGTCTCTCTATCTCTCTCGGTATTTTTCGATTCGATTCTCGACAGCGGCGCCGGCAGAATCGGCGGCAGAGGGTTAAGCGAGCGCAGCTGCTTCAGTTTAAAGATCGGCAAAGTTAGTTAGTCTGCAATCGCCGGGACTCGCAGTCGAGTCGTCGGGCCGCGTTTTCAAATCATATTCATGGGTATCGAAAGTCCACAGCCCTAACGAATTCGAGATCCGCACAGATTAAAATCAAATAATAAAACGGAACGGCAACACGTTCGCTTTTATTGTGTCCCCAATATTCGTCGGCTATCGCACAATTCGCTTTTCGGCTGATAATCGCGAGGTGCGTGTGTGAAATTTTTGTACAAACAGGAAAAAAAATAAGCTCCAGTTTTTCGATCGCTATTTTCGGCGATAAGGTGATGGCCACAAATAATGAGTACATAGAATTGTAAGTAGCCCATGTGAATCATCGTTAATGATTGCTGAAAAGTGTCGCAGGAAAAAACAGCTCAGGAGATAGCGGGGTCCAAAGTTTAAGTCGCACTTTTCAGCCGGGGCTTATCAACCGGGTTTCGATTCAGCTTGGAAAACTGTTATTGTCGTGGGTTTATCTTTCTTGCCCAAGGGCAGCCTCAAAAAAAAGAGGAGGAAGGTCAAAACACTCTAACCGCTCAAAAACGGAAGAACCAAAATTAAATATTAAATATAGTAATGATTGAGTCTACAAGTGTTAATAAAAAAAATTGGTGGTTTATGAATTATTAAAAATCTCTCTAAAAATATAAAATTCTAACTAATCCTAAGGGTCAATTAAAGTATTTTATAAGGTGTAAACATTTAAAACAGGATTTTGTATACCAAATCTTAGATTTACAAAACTGCTTTGAGGTTTGAGACTCGTCAAATTATTTTTTAAATAATTTTTTTGTTTAAATCACTTCAATAAAAACCTAAACTTCTTAAACCTAATATATTTTTAATAAATACGAAAAAAATCATAAAAAATTATTTCACTTACACAAAGAAAATTATACAACGTTTTAGGTGCCGTTTTCATATAAAAACGTTTCAAAAGAAAAAAAAAATGTTAAAAATGCAAAGTAAAATAAAATTTGTATGAAGCGTTTTACTTTTCAAAATGTTTCACCCCTTGTTTTGCACCTAAAACTTTTGATAATTTTCTCTGTGTAGAAATAAAATATCTGAAACAATAATAAATGTAAAAGACATTAAACAGTTCTTATATCTAAATATTTTTTCCTAACACTTATGTATTATAGTCAATTTGTCGCCCTGCTTTTGCTAGACTTTAGCTATAAATAATCTTCGCGTGCCGGCCACACCACTTCAACAATAAATTTATTAAAGAAATAAACAGCAGAACCTGCTATATCAACCAGATAAGCCTTCAGGTCGGCGAGAATTTTTGGTTCTGGACCCAGCCCACATCGTTTCTTTGCTTTAACACCGAGCGACCGAGCAGTTAAACAAAGCCAAGTGCAAATTGTCTAGCAATTTGTTGTCTTGTTGACACAGTATACAACATTGGCTATTAAGTTAATATCGGACCCCAAATTAATGTTTGTTGTTGTGACTCAGGTGCTGATAAGGCTCTCAAAATGCACGAAGACGGGAAGGTAGAGGGAGGTACTATATTTAGTAAGCCCTGGCTAGACCCAGTTTAGACCGGCAATTGGCAGACAGCCTGGAGTGTCCGTCTATCCGAATGTCAGTTTGTCTTGTCTATATATTCAAGTACCATATAGATTATACATTTGACTGGCTGATAAGGCTACGCGCAGCGACTCAAGATGATAGGCTGTATGGAAATAAACCTTTATGCAATGCAAATTTTTCCACCATATTACTGCCTGATCTTGGAAATAACTAAAATTAGCTGGTTCGTGTAAACAACAAAGAAATGTCTTTGTTTCGATTAATAATATAAACTTAAAATATATATACCTGAATATACATTCATAATTAAATTCAATTTCCGTCAAGCAATTTATTAATAGTTTGTTTCTATATTTAATTTTTGGTTAAAGCTGTGTTTATAAAATGTCCCTGTAATTTTTAAACATTAAAATAAAACGTAACTCTAAAAGTCTATAAATCTTATACTTTATCGTCACTGAATAACAGAGAATACCTGATGACCTAGGGAAGTCTGGGGCTGTAAAATAAAATGTATACATTTTCTCGTTTACTTAAACCTGTCTTATATATTTACATCTAAATCCTAAATTTAATCCCAAATAAACCATAACCACTCCCAAGATTAGATGACAATGAGATATGTTTATCCACTCTTATCAGACACGTAGCACAAATTAAAGAGCAATTCCATTAAAAAGCTGAAATAAAAACTAAATCCAAACGCAAACAGAGAATAACAAAAATGAATTCATTTGCAATAAATATTGGCCAAATGCTCGTAAATATTTTCATATTCATATGGCATTTAACAAACTGAAGCACGTGTATTTATGAAACCGATGCAATGGACTGCAACAACAGGTATATTAAATGTGAAATCAACTCTCTGCTTAAAGCCTATAAAATTTTAAATTTGCCTGAAATGAAAATCCATCAGCAGACGAGCAATTTACCAACGGGGAAGTGCTGCTAAATATTCTCGGACTGTTAATGACATTTTTTCTATGAATATGACAAGTGACTACGAAAGTCACGTCAACTGAACAATGAGTATGGTAATGACACTCGATGTGTACTCATTGACATTTTGTTCAGTGTTTTGTTTTGTTTTCTTTTATTTAAGGGACTTAAGCTACGTTAAAAAAGTATTAAATCTCAAAACAAATGTTAAAAAAAATCAATAAATGCATAATCTTAAGATTAAAATTGTTTATAAGATGATTTAAATTTATTTATTCAAATTAATTTGATTAATATTTTCTTAGAATTATTTCAACTCCCTCCTTTAAATAATTATAATAAAACAAATAAAGTGCTCGAGAATATTTTTGGAAAAATAGAGTATTAATATCTTCACCATTTTTAGCGCCCACAATTTGCTTTAATTTATGTCGATTTTTTCAACGTACCGATCAGTTAAATGAGCGGTTTGTGTGGGTGTATTCGTTTATATATCAAAGGCGCATTTCAATTAGGTGATTGACAACGCATTTTCATATGCAGCCCAAGTCCGAGTGAATAATTTCTAGGCCTGCCACTGAACTAAGGTTGTTTTAGGTGATCTAACCGTAACAGTGAGGGGCCCCAATTAGCGATAAGAAACTGATGCCAAGTGTTGCAAAAATGCATCATAATCAAGGGTTATTTAAAACCATTTTATAACGAAAGAGATAGGCGGGAAAAATCAAGGTCCTCTTTTACGCTTAATTATCTTGAAAAAATATATGTAGGTATATTCAATTTCGCTTTTCTTATTCTTTACAGACCTTGGACCATGAATTCCTCAAGCGGCGATGATGAGGCGCCAAAGGATCCGCGCACTGGCGGCGAGGATTTTACGCAACAATTTACAGAGAACGATTTCGAGGGTGAGTCGAGTTCCAGTTCTTCTTTGAAAGCTCCTTGAACGGCTAACTGAATACTGATAAGTAAAACCTGAATACAAAATATTGGGTCCACGCATGTACCAAAATTAAAGCTGACTTGTAAAACCAGCCAAGTGACAAGTCGATAGACAAACAAGAAATTTGCGTCGTGTTAATTGCAGGTTGACAACTTTTGACACGCTACCAAAACTAATGACAAGATGGACTACAAATTCTTTATGGAACTCAAATTTCTAGACTAAAAACTAGATTCAACTGGAAATTAAATTAAATATGAGGGTCAGACAAATTAGTTAACCTGTGCATTTAAAAACTATAATTTAAATACTACGTAAGCCTCATCTTACATCTCTTCCGGTTTTGGTCTTTCATCTGCTTTATTTCACTGAATATACCATTCTCATGCTTAATTAATGTATTTTCAAAATAGAAAACTACATTTTAGAACAATATATTATGTGCTGTGTAATGAAAAATGCATTTAACAGCTATTTTGTTTGTGTCGCTGGATGCAACGCCCACAACTTTAATGCTTATAAGACCAAATCGCGTGACTTGGCGAAAAGTGGAAACAAAAAATTCAGCTAGAAGATGTGCTCTGTATAATTAATTTAAATTTATGAAAAACTACTGATGCAAGTACATGGCAGATGATATCACAATTAGTCAACTGACTGAGCGCAAGTTGAACAAAGGCTTTGAAAATTGAAACTGGGAAATTGCTCTAAAGCGGGCATCCAATTTAGGGAAATACTAATTAACATAAATTTATTTGTAGTCACTGAAAAGACAACAAACAGAGCCGGGAATTTGATTAAAACGGGAATCTACACTCATAAAAATAATTTTCTACATTTTAGAAAATCGCCCTAAAAAATTTTTCGCCTTTGAACTGAGAAAAATTTTCTATTTTCACGACAAATTTGCCATAAATTTAAGGCAGGTGACCATAAAAAAATATTTTTAGGGTTAATTTTTCTATTTTTCTAATATTTAGGGCGATTTTTTTCGATTTGCTTCGTTTTGACCTTTTCTAAATCCAACGGCGAATTGCCCTAATTTTTTTTCTAAAATTTTTCTAAATACAAGGGCGATTCGCCTTAAAAATCACTCCATAAGTGTGAATTTCGGTAGCCCAGCGGTCTAATCACTTGCGCTTTCAACTTTGCTATATGAGGACTAAGGTCGTGGGGTTGTGGGTTCGAACCCTGTGTGATTCAACTTGATTTTTATTTTTTTTTTTTTTTTTTTTTTGTAAACATTATAATACTGAGGACATTTTTTCGTCCGAATTTTAAATTAAAGTAGTCTTTAAACCTTAAAAACGTATGGGAGTTCTGAGTTAAAAGCATACTTTGTGTTTGCGGGCAAGAAAACGGGACTAATTGTCACAGTCGTCAGGAAAAAAATATAGGATTTAGTTGCCTTTAGTCATATTATAACGTAGACCTCAAGAAAATAAGATGTGTGCAGAGTTTGTTCGTCGTCTTGCGCGATGGGTCTGTGGTGCAGCGGTAGGACGTTAGACTCTAAACCGAGATGTCGTGGGTTCGATTCTCGCCATGGCCAAAAAAAGTAAGTTGTTTTTTCTCCTCATATTTATTTCCCTAATTCATTTACAAACATGATTTTTCAGTTCTAACGGCTGTGCTGTATAGATCGGGCCCCCCTCTTAACCCGGCTCCCATATAAACTACACACCAATACAATAATATGAAACGGTGTCCTCCGCCGGTGTTGTTTAATTAAAGCAGTCCCAGTTCCCAGAATATAGACGATTAAAAAAAACATGCTTCCCAAACTCAGTTAAGCATGCTCAAACACGATTTTTTTTAATTTGTCTAATTTTTTAGGGCATTTGCCTATAAAAACAGAAAATTCGCCCTTAATTTTAGAAAAATACACATTAAAATTAGGGCAAATCACCCTAAAAACAGGAAAATATTTCTTATTTCAAGAAAAATCACCCTAAATTAAACCAAATTTCCATCGGGATTTTTTAGAAAATTTTTCTAAATACACGGGCGAATCGCCAGCGGATACGATTTATGGGCGATTTTCTAAATCCACGGGCGAAAAGTCAGTTTTTTAGGGCGATTTAGGGTAAAAATTTCTATGAGTGTAAGATTGGGCTTGACTCGCAGATGATTCAACGCTGCGTATACGTAATTATTGGTGGCCTTGTCTGGGCACAAAATATAAGCTAAGGACAGGCAAGGGTTATACGCGAGTCTTATCACTATGAACACAATTTAGAAGGAACTATAAGCTGCTGATTGGGAATGAAATTAAAGTCTGACAGAAATGCGCTGCGAAATTCAACAACTTTGTGTATTTTAAATTATTTTTCATTTAATTAAAAGTGTTGTTTTCTGATCACAAAATTAAAGACAAACTACACTCATAGAAATTTTTACCCTAAATCGCCCTAAAAAACTGACTTTTCGCCCGTGGATTTAGAAAATCGCCCATAAATCGTATCCGCTGGCGATTCGCCCGTGTATTTAGAAAAATTTTCTAAAAAATCCCGATGGAAATTTGGTTTAATTTAGGGTGATTTTTCTTGAAATAAGAAATATTTTCCTGTTTTTAGGGTGATTTGCCCTAATTTTAATGTGTATTTTTCTAAAATTAAGGGCGAATTTTCTGTTTTTATAGGCAAATGCCCTAAAAAATTAGACAAATTAAAAAAAATCGTGTTTGAGCATGCTTAACTGAGTTTGGGAAGCATGTTTTTTTTTAATCGTCTATATTCTGGGAACTGGGACTGCTTTAATTAAACAACACCGGCGGAGGACACCGTTTCATATTATTGTATTGGTGTGTAGTTTATATGGGAGCCGGGTTAAGAGGGGGGCCCGATCTATACAGCACAGCCGTTAGAACTGAAAAATCATGTTTGTAAATGAATTAGGGAAATAAATATGAGGAGAAAAAACAACTTACTTTTTTTGGCCATGGCGAGAATCGAACCCACGACATCTCGGTTTAGAGTCTAACGTCCTACCGCTGCACCACAGACCCATCGCGCAAGACGACGAACAAACTCTGCACACATCTTATTTTCTTGAGGTCTACGTTATAATATGACTAAAGGCAACTAAATCCTATATTTTTTTCCTGACGACTGTGACAATTAGTCCCGTTTTCTTGCCCGCAAACACAAAGTATGCTTTTAACTCAGAACTCCCATACGTTTTTAAGGTTTAAAGACTACTTTAATTTAAAATTCGGACGAAAAAATGTCCTCAGTATTATAATGTTTACAAAAAAAAAAAAAAAAAAATAAAAATCAAGTTGAATCACACAGGGTTCGAACCCACAACCCCACGACCTTAGTCCTCATATAGCAAAGTTGAAAGCGCAAGTGATTAGACCGCTGGGCTACCGAAATTCACACTTATGGAGTGATTTTTAAGGCGAATCGCCCTTGTATTTAGAAAAATTTTAGAAAAAAAATTAGGGCAATTCGCCGTTGGATTTAGAAAAGGTCAAAACGAAGCAAATCGAAAAAATCGCCCTAAATATTAGAAAAATAGAAAAATTAACCCTAAAAATATTTTTTTATGGTCACCTGCCTTAAATTTATGGCAAATTTGTCGTGAAAATAGAAAATTTTTCTCAGTTCAAAGGCGAAAAATTTTTTAGGGCGATTTTCTAAAATGTAGAAAATTATTTTTATGAGTGTACTACATTTGTACTCATTTTCTAAATGATTATTTCTTGGAAGTTAAAGGTAATTAACTTTCCTAAACTCTCTATTACAAAAAATTTAATTTTAAACATTCTTAAAACATTTTCAATGGTAAAACTGATTTAAACACTTAACAGTAATTATAAGCCTTTGTTTGCTTTTATTATTTGGCAAATTAAAAAGCCATCGAAACATCGTTTATAATAGAATAACATTTTTAATTCAATTAATATAATTGAACACTCTAACATGATGCACAACCAATGCCAATGAAAGCAAATGGAAACGAAATTGAAGCATTTTAAGCTAATAGAATTATGTAACTCAGTGGCAATTAATAAACAACGTCGCACTCAATTTGGCCTTTTTTCATCCAACTGTCTCCCTCTGACATTTTACCCGCATTTTTCCCGCAGGACATCGGGCCCACACCGTTTATGTGGGCGTCCATGTGCCAGGAGGACGACGCCACTCGCAGCGCCGTCGCAAGCACCACCACAGCGGCCCCGGAGGGGGCGGCACGGGGGGCAGTGTCGGAGGAGGTGGCTCCATCGGCGGATCCGGAAGTGTGGGCGGTGGTGCGGGCAAGGACAACACTAGCGAGAAGCAACAGGAAGTGGAGCGACCAGGTGCGTCCAGGTGTCTCCCTCGCTTTATTGCAGCCTCGGGTTTCCTTGTGCAGATATATATAAGTGCGATATGGGTGCCCAGAAAGAAATGTCAGTAAATGTGGCCAATCAGTTTCGGCCAGGCCGAGAATTGTGGCAAATTACAGGAACCGAAAGTGAGGGAAAATTTCACAAATTACAGTGTCCTCTTCTGAGACAACTCAATCATTACGATGAAATAGAAAATGAAGGATGATTGGCTTACAAGTTTGCCGTCAACAAGAAGTTTTGATTATAATGGGAGATAGCAGGCTAATGGGTGACATTGAATTAGGATAATCGAGTTCGAACTAAAAGATAGATAATTCGGAAGAAAGAGAAGGTTCCTTGCTTGAAATAGTAAGGTTTTCAAAAAATGCAAACTAACCACAAGCAATACTAATCAACCTATCATAAATCGAACATAAATTAGCAAACCATTTCATTAATTCATGCACTTACCACGAATGTTATACTGTTAAAAACCTGTCTTACTGCTTTTCATATAATTTAGCGCAACCTATCCCAACAGCCCCATCTTTGTTTGTTTGCATCACCTGACCTATCCATTTAGTTTATAGTAATGCAGTATTAACTCATCTGTCTTTATTTATTATTCTTCTTATTTAGCCTTTCCATTTATTTTATAGTAATGCAGTGGTATCTCATTTGTCTTTATTTATTATTAATTTTACTTAGCCTTTTCATTATTTATTTAATACAATTCTTATTCATGTTTATTCAGAAATCTTGATTTATTCAGGTAAATGTAAATAAAACCCAAAGCCCAAAAGTAGCAATCCAAACATTACCCTCCTTATTTTACCTGTTAAATTTAATCCTATTCTATTAGATAAACATACCAAAAAGTGTAATTGCTTTTGTAATTTGTATACACAAACCTTAAGCCCATACAAATGAAATTCCCTGCATCACATTAACTAAAGATAGTCTTGCACATTCCAAAACGCTTTAACTTCAGAAACAAGCATCCATCCACTAAACATCCTCAGTATTATAGTATAATATCACGCAATACAAACATGAAAGTGCGACTAAATAGAACATATGGTCGGCAATGGGCAGTGGCCAATTCCCAGCACAGATCAGGGCCAAATTATTACGCCAATTAACTTTAGCACGCATTCAGCAGAGTCCAAGGATGCGCTACACATGATTGTTATGAACGGGGTGGCAATGGCAGGAAGATGTGGCTGCCAAGTCATAAATGCTGATTAGGCTAATGAAGGTTTGCACAGGAGAAAAAGACTGCATATAAAGCAGGGGACATCATTCGCTGTTTAAAAATATTTTTTGTTCAAAATTTGGAATTGTTTTTTTTTTAATTTAATTCGGTACAAATTTAGAAAATAACTTTTAATTTATTTATATTTTATTTTGAATACTTATCCCTATTATCAAGCACACTTTGCTCATACTGTATCCTTAAAATTATAGATACTCCCCCGGCCCAGCGAGTTCAGTTCATACTCGGCGAAGATGTGGACAGTAGTGGCACACATGTATCGCATCCCCTGTTTTCCGAAATGGGGATGCTGGTGAAGGAGGGCGACGAGATCGAGTGGAAGGAGACCGCGCGTTGGATCAAATTTGAGGAGGATGTGGAGGAGGGTGGCAATCGGTGGTCGAAGCCCCACGTGGCCACCCTCTCCCTTCACTCCCTGTTCGAGTTGCGTCGCCTGCTGGTCAACGGCAGTGTGATGCTGGACATGGAGGCCCAAAATCTGGAGGTGATGGCCGATCTGGTCTGCGATCACATGGTCAGTGCCGGAACCCTGCCACCCGGGGTCAAGGACAAGGTCAAGGATGCCCTCCTGCGACGTCATCGCCATCAGCACGAGTATGCCAAAAAGACGCGACTGCCGATTATTCGATCCCTGGCCGATATGCGCAATCATTCGTCATCGAAAAGTGAGTATGGGGCTCTCATGATCATTAGGTTTCAACTTCGAAGCTCATCTCGTGCGATTGATGTGCATCTGTGATCCATCATCGGCGAGTTAAATGCCATTCCACCCAGATCATCGCATTTAGGATCATTCTGTCCAAGTGTCTAAAACTCTCATCCGATCCGAACTAATACTAATAACTCAGACCTGGGCAAGAGCACTCCACTGCACTCACTGCATGGCTCGGCGGCTGGCCTGGATCTGACTGGAAATTACCAGACACCCCTCTATGTGTCGAGTAAGGATCAGCGTGGTTGTTATCTCGCTGTTCCCACAGGTATAGCCCTAGAACTAGCGAACCCCGTCACCACTCTACCTTATGCAATCTCTGTAAAGCTGAAAATAAGAGCCAAAAGTAAACATTTTCAGTTGCCTTGCACCTAAGAAAAAGCACCCAGAATCCAGCCAACCAAAAGTAAGAGCTAACTAACGTTTATATTGTGGAGATTTGGATCTCCCCCACCAGGAAATATCAACCCTTAGAGACAACCGTAGATCAGAGAAATGAATTAATCCAAACCTAATGGATTTAATATATATTCCACAGACTATTAAGTAAATGCTCCTTTGTAAAAATGGAATACAGTCTCCCTTGAAAAAGAAGAGTAACCCTTTTAATAGCACTTCCATCACCCAGAAGTCGTTATCGTTCCATTAATCACTCATATTCATTAGCTATTTAAATGGGGTAGCCTCTCAAGAATCATGAAATAAATATGCGTTTGTCGTTCACCCAATAAGCTGACACTTCAACGCACCTGGGGGCCATTGGGGTCACCACCTGGTTCCATGCCGGGGCATCGCCCCAGCATCAGGCTCAAAATCAAGGACAATCGCAATCACAAACAATGCCAAGTAATAGCCCATCAATGGTTTTTACTGTACTTATACTGTACTGTATTAAGAGCACGCTGTGTTTTTCGATGATTATCTCTTGTCATTGACTCTTCTATTTTCTCTACTCCTTGAACTTATTAATCTACTCACTGTATAACCAACTATAATATTCCAGAGCTCGTTAGTCCCTTTCTATGACGAAATATACCCAACTTATTGTGCTGTCTATCTACACGATTTAATCTGTTCAACTATATATTTAACCAGTGATATTTACCCAGAAAATTAAAATCGAATACATTAAGTTTTGTATCTATCCTCCCCCTACTTTTTCTCGAACTCTACTTTACTTCTTTAATAAGTATTCTATCGATTATAAGTCCCAATATTTAGAAAACTTTATCATTTACGATCTTCTGACTCAGCAAAATTCTTCTACGCTTTGGAACCACTTTAACAATTTATTTTCCAATACCTTAAAAATAGCATCGAAACGGATGAATAGATAGGTCCTAAGAAATAAATACGTTTTACATCCTTGGAATCCTTTTATAATAAAAAAAATAGTCTGTGAGGCAGTTTAGATGAACCAGATCCGCTCGAGATACTCAAGGAGTATCCTTGTCCTAATGATATCCTAAAAAACAAACCCAATAATTTTCTAGTTGAAGAGCACGCTGGCAACACTTTGGGGGCCACAACACCAATTTCCCTAACGGCCAGCGAACCGGGACCGCCCGGATCTAATGGAAATCCCAATCTAAGCACCGCTGCCGGCGGCATGGGTCGTTTCCTAACGGTGCCCAGTGGAAAACCCAGCAACAGAGCGCTCGGTAAAGAACCCCACTTCAAGAATCCATTACCAAGAACCGACCGTTTTCGTTATCGTTTACCGTTTGATTTTGCGTGTCTGTTAATTGTTGAAAATGTCCTCAAAAATACATTGAATATTTCTTTGGTAGTTCGCAGTTTTGTATTTTAAATTTGGATGAATAAAAGGATATGAGAAGGTGGCGAAATTTGCATGACGGTTATATCGAGCAGAATTGGAAAAACAGGAAATGGTTCCGTAGATAAACTCTAGATTAAAAGAATCCACTCACAACTGCACGCTTATCACCACCTAACACAAGAACTTTCACAACTACTTTCCAATATATTTAGCATGCTTCATTATCTGTATCTCAACTGAATCTGAAATCTTTTCCAGCATTCTTAGCCGAATTCGAATTTAATCCAAAATCTCTTTCTTGCACTTCTTTTTTCGTATGTTTTTTATGTTGTGTTCCGTTGTAACGTGTTGAACTACATGTTGTTGTTGTTATTATTATTATTGTAATACCTATCAACGCACGTATCCCAAAAATACTTAAAATATGTAAACACAACACCAAAACCTGCACCCCGTGTTCCGAACGAAAAAAAACACGACTAATGCAGAGAAAAAATCTAATTCTAAACACTCGCGGCCCGCACAAAACCTGCCGTCGATCACAGAGGACATGGTCAAGAGCCCCAGCAACCAGTCGATGGCCCGGCCAGGAAGTGGAACCGAGCTCAGCGAGCAGCAGCACAAGGGCAACACCCACTTCATGAGGAAGATCCCGCCGGGAGCGGAGGCCAGCAACATCCTCGTGGGTGAGGTTGATTTCCTGGAGCGCACCCTGTCCTGCTTCATCCGCCTGAGTCAGGCGGTGGTCCTGGGTGATCTCACCGAGGTGCCAGTACCCACAAGGTAGGTTTTCTAAATTTCAGAAGTTCAGGATGAGGAAAAACAGCGCAAATTTGAAGCCGACTTTTATGTTGCCCTTTAAAGATTTTACACTGAGATTTAACTTTAGGTTGTAATAAGTTTAAAATCCATAAAGTCGAAGGGTATATAAGATACTATTTTCTTTCACATTTTGTAATGAATGTGATTTTTGATTGATTTAAATATTATTAAATATATAAATTATTGATGCTAAAAAAATTATTTTGCAAATGTGACTAATAAAAAATTTTAAATAGTAAGTAATAAAATATTTTTTTTTTATTATCCACAACTAAAAATTTGTATTACGATATTCAAGTGAAAAATTTCCCCATTTTGACAGTAATTTATAGTTTCCCATAAAATTTTTTATTTCTAATTTAAAAGACAAAAAACTACAAGTCACTTGATGACTTTAGGATTGTTATACATATAAGCAATTTAAAAATAAACTACTTATTATTTATTAATAACCATACAAAGTCATACAAGTTAAAATTAAAAAAACTTTTGAATAACCTCCAAATTAATTATATGTAAGCTATGAATTCCTGATATTAATAGTTTCCCCTTCTCACAGATTTGTCTTCATCCTGCTTGGCCCGCCTGGCAGTCAGAGCAACTTCCACGAGATTGGCCGGGCGATGGCCACCCTGATGTCCGACGAGATCTTCCACGAGGTAGCGTACCGAGCACGCAAGCGGGATCACCTGCTGTCCGGAGTGGACGAGTTCCTCGATGCGGTGACCGTGCTGCCGCCCGGCGAATGGGATCCCACCATTCGAATTGAGCCACCGGCGGCCATTCCCTCCCAGGAGGTGCGTAAGCGTCCCCCAGAGCTGCCCAAGGAGGAGGTGGACGAGGAGGAGGAGGAGGCGCGCCTGCGGGATGAGAACGGGCTGACCAGGACGGGTCGACTCTTTGGAGGCCTCATCAACGACATCAAGAGGAAGGTACCCTGGTACATTAGCGACTACAAGGACGCCCTGTCCATGCAGTGTGTGGCCTCGTGGATCTTCCTGTACTTCGCCTGCCTGTCCCCGATCATCACTTTCGGTGGTCTTCTAGCGGAGGCCACCGGCAAGCACATGGCTGCCATGGAGTCTTTGGTGTCCGGGTTCGTTTGTGGCATGGGCTATGGCTTCTTTTCGGGCCAGCCGCTGACAATTCTCGGGTCCACCGGTCCAGTTCTGGTCTTCGAGTCAATTATCTACGAGTTCTGTCTGAAGATGGGCTGGGAATATATGACTTTCCGGTTCTGGATCGGCATGTGGGTCGCCGGCATTTGCATCGTCCTGGTCGCGATTGATGCCAGTGCCCTCGTCTGCTACATCACCCGCTTCACCGAGGAGAATTTCGCCACTCTGATCGCGTTCATCTTCATCTACAAGGCCATTGAGAATGTTATGGTTATTGGTAAGAACTTTCCGGTCAATCAAGGGATATACGACTGTGTCTGTACACCGCCAATTGGTAGCAATGCCAGTGTGATTGAATATGCCAAGTACAACTGGGATTATTGTGAGGTATTGGTTTGATGGTTGAGGAATCAATTGAATATTTACTAATTAAAATCTTATTTTTTTAGACATACAATGGCACTTTGGTTGGCGGCGACTGCGGATCACCGCCCACCGAGAACGTTTTCCTGATGTCGGTGGTCCTCTGCGCCGGCACCTTCCTCATCTCCACCGTGCTGAAGGAGTTCAAGAACGCCCTCTTCTTCCCCTCGATCGTTCGCCAGTACATTAGCGATTTCTCCGTGCTGATCGCGATTTTCGCCATGAGCTTCTTTGACTATTCCCTGGGTGTGCCCACCCAGAAACTGGAGGTTCCCAACGAATTAAAGCCCACACTTAGCACTAGGGGCTGGCTCATTCCGCCGTTCTCCGAGAAGAATCCCTGGTGGTCGCCGATCATTGCCGTTTTCCCCGCCCTGCTCGGAACCATTCTGATCTTCATGGATCAACAGATCACGGCCGTTATTGTGAATCGTAAGGAGAACAAACTGAAGAAGGGCTGCGGCTACCATTTGGATTTGTTCATCCTCTCGATTCTGATTGCCATTTGCAGCTTGATGGGTCTGCCTTGGTGAGTTTTGAGTCGAATAAATTATAGGGATATTTCTGGGAACTTTTTTTCTGAAAAATAGGTGTATTAGAGGTTTTTTTGTATACCATATTTCTTATACAATATTTATATTCCCAGGTTCGTGGCTGCCACCGTGCTGAGCATCAACCACGTGAACTCGCTGAAACTGGAATCGGAGTGCTCGGCCCCTGGCGAGAAACCACAGTTCCTGGGAGTGCGCGAGCAGCGGGTTACCCACATCCTGATCTTCCTGACCATCGGTGTCTCCGTGCTGCTAACCCCGCTGCTCGGTCACATTCCCATGCCGGTTCTGTTTGGCGTGTTTCTTTACATGGGAGTGGCCTCGCTCAAGGGTCTGCAGTTCTTCGATCGCATACTTATCATGTTCATGCCGGCGAAATACCAGCCGGACTATATGTTCCTCCGCCAGGTGAGCTAAATAAATAAATATACAAGTCATATAAATATATTTAAAAACCCCTTGAAATATTCCCCAAAAAAAATCGTTGAATTTAATGCTCTTTAAAAAGATGTTACTTTAATTCCAATTAATTTAATGCAATATTAGTGGATTCTAGTCAGACTAACATGAACATAAATTTACAGATTCCTCTCCTCTCTTAATGGTCGATTACTATTACTATTAGTTTGTAATTTTTTTGTTTTTCTTGGACTTTATTTCAATTAGTTACTTTCCACATAATCAACATAATTTTCGTCCGTTGAGTACGTTGCATCAGAAGAACTATCAGTAGAGGTTTCATCAGTAGTACTTTCAGTGGATGTATTTTCAGTACTACGCTCCTCAACATTTTCTTTCTTATTTTGCAACTGTTTTCTTTCATTCTCCTCACTCCAAATTTTATATTGCTCAATCAGTTCAGTCACATTCAAGAGCCTAGAAATTAAGAAATCAGAATCAGTGGTACTACTTTCAGGTACAATTGAACTCTCGGTGCTGCTTATTTCTTGGTCAGTTTCGTTTTCACCCTTGACCATTTCATTGTACAGGTTATTCAGGTATTGGGTGATCTTTTCCAAATCAACTATCCAATCCTCTTGGCTATTTAAATCACTTTCAGTTACTCCGTTAACCGCATTATTATAAATAGTTTTTAGCGCAGAAATATTCATATTTTTTAGATCACTTTCCAAATCAAAAGGCTTATTGGTTACACCCATTGGGTTATCCGTAGTACTTTCGGACCTGCTAATCTCTTCGAGTCTGCGAAGATCCTTCAAGATATCCTTGAGTCGATCTGGTACGCCCTTTGAATTTTCGATTATCCCATTCGATTCCTCACAGCCGTTTTGTTCTTTTTGGGCATATGACGAGATAGTCTTCCTTTCCGTAATCCTCGCATCGTACATCTCGATAAAGCCATCCAGTATACTCTTCACACTGGATTCGTAATCAAAAGACTGGGAACCTCCATTTGTAACTGTTGATTTCTTCGAGCATGCCGATTGTTTTAATTGATTTTCAAAGCTCGTCAATCTCCCGTTTAAATTTTCACCAAATGATTTGAGCTGACGATCCACAAACTCGGTTATTCGTTTAAATTCATCAGAGCAAGCGGAGTCCTAAAATAAATATATTTCACTGCCATGAACTGTTCTTAAGGAATTAATAACTCACTTGTAAAATGGCGACAGTCCTTTGTAGGGCTATCCCGAATAGAAAAATAATTAGGATTTTATGCATTTTATCCACAGCCACAGAACTTGACCGAAGCTAACTTAAAATGAGAATGAATTGTATTTTCAAGAGAGGATAAGTTTTTGCATGATATTTCAGAGCTTTATATATCCGCAGTCATGCAGTTTATACAAAAAACCCACATCCGCCGGAACTGATAACACTCACATTGCGCGAAACATTTTATCGTTATTTTAGCTCTGCACTTAGCCGAATAATAAATATAATTCGTCAAAAAAACTTAAATTTTGTCAAGCAGTGTTTATAAAAGTATGAGTCTATAAATTACAGCATGATAAGTATTTTAAAAAGGAATCATATTTTTTCCCCTATGTAGTTAAATAATGTATTATTTTAATTTAAATCGCGTGTATTATATTATACAGATTTTATGTTTTAGCAAAAAATATTCCCATTAACATGACATAGATTTTCATTTTTATAATTGTTAAATAAATCATAGTTTCATTAGAACTATAAGATTTGAATATATAATATTAATAATTATTAGTAACATTTTTTATGATCTTTCGTAAGTGACCAATAAAGTTAAGTAGGTTTTTAATAGTGGCGGATCCAGGATTTTTTTGTGGGGGGTGATATCAGAACAATTTTTTTGTTGCATACTTTTTGAATACCAAAATTTCTTTCATTTTTCACCCGAGTGGGGGGTGATATATCACCCATATCACCCCCCGTGGATCCGAGCATGGTTTTTATAGGCTTTCGTTGGCAATTTTGAAGGTGATAGCCATTATTTTGCGTTTAAATCATTTGTTTTGTTCTTCCTCAGATTTCTTCCACATACTGTACTTTGCGATCACATCACTCATATCCTGAATAGATCTGGTTTTAGTTGTATCGCTTTTAATCGGCTGAAGGGTATTGGAATTTAAAAATTTCTTTAGCAAAGAATCCGATGAATTTTCGGTTGGGATGCTACCGTCAAACCTAACATGGTCTTCACTTTTATCTTTTAATTCCGATTCAGTACTCTTAGTGGTAATATTTTCTTCATTTTTCTTTAATAATATTTCTTTATCTTTTTTCTCTTTCCTCCAAGTTAAATATTTCCTAATTATGTCCTTCATATTTGTTTCTTCATAACGAAATTCCGGTTCAGTGAAGATTTCAATACTTTCACTTGTAGAACTGTCAGTAGAGGAACTGTCAGTAGAAGAACTGGCAGTAGAAGAACTTTCTGTAGAAGAACTGTCGATAGAGGAACTGTCAGGTGATGGGTCACCAGTGGAAGTAAAAATTATTTCTGTACTCGCTTTATCATTTTGCTTCATAAGCCAAGCTTTAAATTGGTCAATTTTTGCAGAGTTGCCCAACCTTTCAATACTTTTATCTGTAGAAGTTTTATATTTTTTCTCTTTCATCCAAATTATATATTTCTCAATTATTTCCTTCATATTTGTTTCTTTATAACGAAATTCCGGTTCAGTGGAGATTTTAAAATTTTCACTTGTAAAACTGTCAGTAGAGGAACTTTCAGTAGAAGAACTGTCGATAGAGATACTGTCAGGTGATAGGTCATTAGGGGAAGTAAAAGTTATTTCTGAAGTACTTGCTTCATGATTTTGCTCCAAAGAATCTTCTTTAATTCTGTTCGCCTCCATCCAAATTAAAAATTGCTCAAGAGCAGTACCCATTCTTTCATTACTTTTATCTGTAGAAGTTTCATATACATCTGTAGTAGTGTCATATTCAGCTGTAGTTGTATCATAATAGGAATTTTCAGCCGAACTCTTTTTGCCTATTACTGAACCGGTTGCCACTCCGTTAGCAACAGCAATAATGTTTTGTAAGGACTTACATCCAGTTAAATCCTCTTGGCTATCCTCAGTACTTTCAGTCCTGCACAATTGTATGAGTTTCTCAACGTCCTTAGAGAAACTTGGTATACGATTCTGTGAGTTCTCACAAGTCTCCGGGATTTGAATATCTTTTGGTTCCTCAATCGCTGTCCGTTCTTTTTGGGTATATGACGAGATAGTCTCCCTTCCCTTCATCCTCGCATCGTAAATCTCGAAAAGGTCATCAAGTATACTCTTCACTCGGGAACCATAATCAAAAGCTAGAGAACCTCCAGTTGGAATTGTTGATTTCTTTGTGCATTCCGGTTGTGTCAGTCGATTTTCAAAACTCGTCAATCTCCCGTTTAAATTTTCACCAAATGATTTAAGCTGACGCTCCACAAATTCGGTTATTCGCTTAAATTCATCAGAGCAAGACGAGTCCTAAAATAAATTTATTTTACTGCTATCCACTGTGCAGATCAAACTTATAACTCACTTGTGAACTAGCGAAGGAGGTCCTTAGTAAGGCTATCCCGAATAAAAAAACAATCAGAATTGTTCGCATTTTATCCACAGCTAAGAACTTATACTCGGCAATATAACAACAAGACTGAAATTTATTTCCAAGGGAAGAGAACTTATTGCAGATGACTTCAGAGTGCTATATATCTGAATTCATTCAGTTTTTTTACGTACATCCGCCGAGAGCTGATTAATACTCATTTCAAGTCAACCAACGATAAATTCAATACATTTTGCTGTATATGTATGCAGACTTTACAAAGATAAAGTTCCGAATTACTTTAATCCAATTTAAAATTTTATTACAAATGAAAATTCGTGGCTAGAGATATTTAATTTTTCTATCATTGTGGACGGAGGTTTACATAGTGACGAATCGCACCAACATTGAAAATATGCTACAACTATCATATTGAAATTCGTGATTCACCGTTTTTTTTTAATATATTGTACATTGGTATTTTAAATATAATTTTCAGTATAAGAGATTAGATTACATTATATTTTTTATATACATTTTTCGTGTCTTAAAATTGTTTTTTTAATTTTTGCTTAAGAGGTGACAACGTTTAATTTTCGCTCGAATTATTGTTCCACGAATTAAACCGTTCCATTATTGTTTTAATCTTATCGTGAAGATCCTTTGTTTCCCGTTCGCTGTTATCAGGAGAAGTACTGTCTGTAGAAAAATCATCAGTAGTATTTTTCCTATTTTCCTCATCACTTTCCTTTAATAGAGTCCCATTTTTAAATTGGTCCGCACTCCAGATTTTATATCGCTCAATCAGGTCAGTCGCAATTTTTTTGTTTAAAAATTTATTAAATTTATTCTCTCCGGTTAAACTTTCATTTTTCACCATTATGTTGTACTTTTCTATTAGGGTTTGTACGTAGTTTTTCCAATTAAGTGCTGTTAAATTTGCATTTTTTGTGAAACTCCCATTTTTCGCCATTGAATCATATAGTTTTATTAACTGTTCGACGCTCATTTCCATATCTCTGCCCCTCATCCTCGCTTCGTAAATTTCGATAATGTCATCGAATATACTTTTTACACGAGACCCATAATCAAAAGTTTCGGAACTTTTAGTGGGAATGGTTGATTTCTTTGTGCATTCAGATTGTCTCATCTGATTTTCAAAACTCGTTAATCTCCCGTTCAAAGTTTCACCAAATAATCTAAGCCGACTCTCCAATAGTTCGGTTACTCGTTTTAGTTCATCAGAACAGGTTGAATCCTGAAATAATTATATTTAATTGCCTGGCTCTGTGCTGACCCAATTATTAACTCACTTGTAAACTGGCGACAGTCCTTTGTAAGGCTATCCCGAATATGAAAATGAACAAAATACTTTGGCGCATTTTATTCACAAATTAGAACATTAACCCAGTAAAATCCAATCAAGACTGAACTGTATTTTCAAGAGTGTAGAAACTTTGGCCCCTGAGCTTTTATTCAAAAAATCCAGCTTAGATGTTTTTAAGGAATGATAATATTTATAATAAAATTCCAGAATTATGAACCATTATTTCTATTTAGTCATTTGGTTTTTTAAATGAATTTCAAATTTGAATTTAATTATGAATAATTAATTAGAATTCAATCCTTGGCATTTCTAAACCACATACCAACACCCGAAAAATGTCGAACAGCTTAATCATAGTCTGATAGAAACTCCAGGCTTGTTAGTTATATACATTAAAAAATTAATATCAATGGTCATTGCTTAAATATTTAAATGTGCATATGTACAATGTACATTGTACTTTGTATAAAAAAAACAATACGTTTACTTTAATTTGGATACTTTCAAAACCATTAATAACTGTTCCAATTGATTTATATTACAGGTCCCCATCAAACGCGTCCACCTGTTCACCGTTATTCAGCTGGCCTGTCTTATTATCCTCTGGCTGATCAAATCCTTCTCGCAGACCTCCATTCTGTTCCCCCTGATGCTGGTGGTAATGATCGGTATACGAAAGGCCCTCGATTTGGTGTTCACCCGACGCGAGCTGAAGATCCTGGACGACATAATGCCCGAGATGACGAAGCGGGCGGCGGCCGATGATCTGCATAAACTGGACGCTGAGGTGGGCTTATTGGCGCGAATTTTCCCCTGGGGAAAAGGTAGTCGGGGCAGGGTGGTGACCAAGCCACCAGGCCTCGATGGCGGCCTCCCCGCTTCCGGTGGGGCAGGCAGTGCTGGCCTCATCAGCTGCACCACCTCAAATGCAAATGAGAAAGAGTTCGAGGCACAGAGTAGTCTGCTCAAAAAGTAGAAGACACACACAGAACACCACTTCCGAGCACACACACAAGCACACCTAGACAAGCACACGCCCACAAACACGCCCACGCCGAAATAAAAGAAAATCCATGGACCGGTGCTGCCCATTTCATTTGCGTTTGCAGTGCTGCCCAGTCCACCGCACAAAACCAACGATAAGCGATACTTGCTTCGATGGTTTCGATACCGATAAACTCAATTATTTATAGGTTTTTTGATTAATTTGCATTTTGTCGGTCTTGATACATCTTATTCAGCTACTATAGTTATCTACCCATATACTTATATATATGCATTATATTCTCTGTTATATACGTTTTTATCATGTCTTTAACAGTATTTTGTAAATGTTTTCCCCTACCCTACACCATTTTAATTTTTAAAAAATATGGCATGCAGCTATTTTGCATTTTGTTTTTACATATACGATATTTTTTGATACAAATGTTCAACTTCTTTTTGATTCTATGCTTAAAAACGCTTTCAAACCACCTGTAAATGCCAAACCTATAAGAAAGAAATTATGTGGTTTTTCGTAGTGCAAAAAATGTGTTATCTATCCGAACCTACTCTAAAACTACTCTTACCCTATATATATACAAATATGATATTTATAAATGTAAATGAAATTCTAGCCTAAGTCATAATTAGTCAACGTTTACACTGTACAACAAGTACCTAAATGTATTAAATGGAACCTGTTATGTTATTTTATAGTCATCGGGTCGAGAGTTCCAGTAACTAACCAGCGACATAAACCCACACGTAATTGTAGCGAAAATTGATGTAAAAATATCATGGGCAAAATCCAAAATTAAAACACAAAAAAAAACTAAGCAAATAAAAATAAAACAAAAATTTGGCATAATTCTAAAATTAAACACACTTCACCGAATTGGCTTTAGAAACAAGACCACCGACTTAGACCCCCTCACCCTTTTATTTAGCGAGCTCTTTCTACTTCGCCTTTCACCTATGCAACATTAGACCAGATATGCTATACCTTTTTCTACTCATCCTTTGCTCCCCTTTGGAGACTTGTTCTTTGGTCCCAAAACTATGCAAACTGTGCCAATTTTATATTGAAGGACAATCATCATCAGCATCATCCGAGTTCTGGGTCTGGGGCCAACTACAATGCCGATAAGTCGGGTCCCACCACCATTCACATTCCCCTGTCGGGAAACAAGCCCGGCAGCAATGGACCAACTGTGACCATTCCCCAGGAGGCTGTTAATCGCACCACAGTCTGGCAGCAGATCAACAAGGATGGCAATGGGATCTCGGAGCAACTGATCATCCCGGTCACCCTCAAAGTCCGTCAGATCAACGGCAACCAGTAAGTGTTCCCAACGGGTTCCAGTCCAGAATCAGCGATCAGATCAGATCACACACTAATCCTCTCATGAGCTGCTAGATCTTTCGCTCGCTCTATTGTATATAATCGATTTACCTTTCCTTTCCTACGCTCAAGAAAAGAAAGGCCTTAAAATCGCACAGCATATTGGAGTTGAAGACAAAAGAGAATTCTGTAGAATAAATAAGTAATTAAGTTCAAACTATGAGCCGTCTGCCTGAAGACAGCTAATAATATTTCATATTTCTTATATCGATTGATAAACTAGAATACAAAAGTCTTATTTTCTCAGCTTACTAATAGTTGTAATCATAATCATGACAAATAACTGATTGAATTTGTTAGTTCTCAAAAATTTAAACACATGTACTAAAAAATGTTCTTTCCTTTTATCGCTGAAATATTTTGTTTAAAATTCCCGAAATTACTCAGCATGGGAATACCCAAAACTTGTTTCCGCCAAACGGTCTTATGAGTCTACAGTTCAGATAGCTACCAAATATCAAGTAAAAAACAAAAAAATATACAGCTCAGGGTAAAACTATAACACTTGTTGTGGATATTAATACATAAATAAAAATTGTTTTTAGAATACATTTTTAAAAGCTTGTATTTTATTTTTTAATATTAAACTGAGAAACCTTTAATTTAATTTATCTATGAAATATCATGATTTATATTAAATTTAAACTCAATTTTTGTATTAGCAAGAAACTTTTATAAATATGTGCGAATTTGGGACGACTTTCTTTTGAGCGTACCGACTATACAATCATTCATGCTCGTCTACACATTCCCCTGTGCCTCCCCCTCTCTGCAGTGCGTCCCCGAGTGCCGCCCTATCGCCACGCCTCTCGCCGATGCACGAGGCCGATGAGTACAGTGAAGCCCCGACAAACAGTCCGGGGCATCTCACGGGAGCTCAGCAGCAGCAGCAGCATCATCAGCAACAGCAGCAGCAGCAGATCAGCAATTGCAAGGAGGCGGCTGCCAAACTCGAAGGATCCTCCTTGGCCAGCAGTCAGATCAGTCCGGCCAACATAACACCCGTCTAAAGAACACAAATACGAAATGGATTTAAAGCGAACAAAGCACAAAGAACACACACGTATTTCTAGTTGGTCACTCACAGCCGTATCATAATCTCTATTTACTATATATCGTACTAGTTAACCCAGGCTACGTTTTTTTGGTAACGTTTTTTAGTTGTGCCAGTAGAGGGGTAAATCTTTGATTTGGGGCTCAGGTACAAGATATACAAGTATTACTTACATATATGATACAATTACGATATTCTGTAGAGAAAAAATAATATTCAAAATATACACTTTTGAAGCGAATTTTATAGAGTCAATTCCAACGGAGAGGGTGCAAAGAAGCCAAAGCCACAGAACAGAAAAAAAACAGAAACCATCGGTTCTCCGATGCTTGTACAATTTTCCTAATCCATTCTCCACTTTGACTTGGTTAGCTAAAGCGATTTTTGTGTGTTTTATGGGGCTTATTTATCAAACTGTGATCTGATGGGTATAATATCTTGGGTTGGGTTGTATTAGGATCGTATTATTTAGCCTAGCCAAGACAAAGCTGTAAACAATTGTATTATATTTTATGCCTCACACTAAGTTCAACACAAAGACACACGCATCCTATCCGACACTCCCAAAATAAAAACCATATATATAAAATATATACAACTATAAATATTGAATAAAAAGTGGCGAACCATTAATTAGCCACAGGAAAACTGCAAAAACAAAAATGTTTCTTTCATTTCGTTACTTTTGGTATGCATCGTTCGTTTTCAGTGTATTTTGTGCATAGTTGTGAGTCTTGAGTGTGGCACCTACTGCTCCCAAAATCTATATCTCTGAACATTCATGCATAGCACCCGATCGAGTTCTGCCTGTCTTTCATAAAACCAGACATTCATGAAAACTGAGAATCAGAGTTTGTGGAAAAAAAAACGTAGTGAAACAAGTGACAAAAAAATACTCTGTACCATTTTTGATCATCTTCAAACTCTGTTTCCTAAACTCAAACCATCAAAGCTTCATTAGCATCGTGTTTGATGTCTGTATGTGCATTTTCTATACTATATTCTCCTTGATATTAAAGTACGTAGACGAACCTGAACTAGGATATCATTGGTACTCCTACCCCAAAACCACGATTATTAATTACTAATTTCATTATTGCAGAACCCAAAATTTAATACGTCGAAGCAATTGTGGCGTGGATATCTTACACCAACAGAAACATCCGTTTGAGTCAATGATTTAACTCCATTTTAGCGTATGTCTGTGTACCTGTGCAACAATTATGTGTGTCTATAATCTAATATAATTACCACCTACCGTCCCTTTTGCGTATAAATGTATACCCCAAGTGCGATTTGTGGCACAAATTAATTGTCTGGCACATATCAAGCGACAACTCGAAAAACAATCTTATACAATCCACACTAAAGGAATTTGTTGAAATAAATGTATACAATAAAGTTAAATTATTTTGAATGGGAAATATTATGTTTGAACTGTTTGTGGCTAAGAAAGGTGAGTTATATAAGGTTTGGAATTCAATTGTTACATTAGCACTTTATTTCAAAAATGATTAGGAAAACCAACAAAGGGTCAAAAAACTGTTTACTAAAATTTATATTAAAATTGGAAATGAAATGTCTACAAAAATATACGTCTATTATATTTAAGCATTTGGAGTTGGCTCAAAATAAGTCGGTATCCTCCACAAATTCTAATATGGTAAAAAGTATAGTGATATCACTATCGTTAAATGTTTTAGTAAATTTGTTTCGAATCCCTTCGACTCCTGTGTCTTGTCCATGGGGATGGTCCTTAAAAGGTTCCGTACCTTATTTATGATTCCTTGCAATTTCCTGCCGAACGTTTAGAAATGCCCCCTCTTTATACGAAAACTTTCCTTGAAGAATCTGAGTTTTCAGGCACTGCTCGTTCTTCAAACAAAACGCATTAATTCTATAACAAAAAAATAAATGTATATTTATTATACGTATTGGGTTATTACATATTATAAGATATATTTTACTTGAGTCCCCTCGCAAGGGGACTTTTGCTTTTTTTAGGCTTTATCCCTGGGGTCAAATACGGAAACCAGTTAGTCATCTTCATAATCTCCACTTCCTCGTCTCCCAAGTACCAGCATAGCACATTGCAATTCCTGCTTGTCATTCGAACACTCCCCAGGCTCACCCATATATATATTTATTTTATTTCGCGGCAATTTACAAATAAATAAACGCGGCTCAGCTGTTTGTGCCATTCACATGTCGCCGTTAAATGTACATTATGCACACATTTACAAATGGTCACCTTTTTCGATAAGTTACGATAGCAAAGAAAAAAACCGCCTTGTTTTGAAAAAAAAATGTTATTATTTTTGTTTTTTTTTAAATAAATTAGTAGAATAATATAGGCCATCGCAAAGACTTTTATCGTTAATATTAAGACACAAAAACCAAGGCTTTATTTGCCAAAAAATACACATTCACAGCATATACACATTATAGTACTATGCCTAATCCACCGCCGCTTCCCTCCTACACCACCAGTTATATATATTAAAATTGGTCAAAACTGTACACTTAAATTAAAAAAAGGCCGTTTCTTTAAAATTACTAATTTGACAAAAACATCGATAACAAATTTTAAAACATCGATGCATCGATGTTTCTCCCCGCTACCTGATATCGATGACACCCCTTGTTATTGTTTTGCCCAACACGAGCGCGTGTTTTCCGTTTAAATTGGTAATTATTAATTAAAACCAGGCCGGCATGTCGCTAATTACCCGTTTGCTGACCGGGAACAACACCCTGCGCCTGCGGGCCCTGGAAACTTTGGGCAGGGTGAGTTCGGAACGGGGAAATGGCCGAAAACCCAGCGGCTCGTTATGTAATTGTTGTAAGAAATGCAGCTTAATTACTTAATAACCTTTCAGGCCGGCTACAGTTCGCATGCCAAGTTCTCGGAGCACAGACCGATCGAGAAGATCCGGAATATAGGAATCTCGGCGCACATAGACAGTGGGAAGACAACGCTGACGGAGAGGATTCTCTTCTACACCGGAAGGATTGCGGAGATGCACGAGGTGCGGGGCAAGGACAATGTGGGTGCCACCATGGACAGCATGGAGCTGGAGCGGCAGCGGGGCATCACCATCCAGTCGGCGGCCACGTACACCCTGTGGAAGGACACGAATATCAATATTATCGACACCCCGGGACATGTGGACTTCACCGTGGAGGTGGAGCGCGCCCTTCGCGTCCTGGACGGTGCCGTTCTGGTGCTCTGCGCCGTGGGCGGAGTTCAGAGTCAAACGCTGACGGTCAACCGGCAGATGAAGCGCTACAATGTCCCCTGTTTGGCCTTCATCAACAAGCTGGATCGCCTGGGCTCGAATCCCTATCGAGTTCTGTCCCAAATGCGCTCGAAAATGAACCACAATGCTGCTTTCATTCAACTGCCCATCGGCGTGGAGAGCAATTGCAAGGGCATCGTGGACTTGGTGCGCGAAAGAGCAATTTACTTCGAGGGCGAGCATGGAATGGATCTTAGGCTGGATGAAATCCCGCAGGAAATGCGGGTGGAGAGTCAGGAAAGAAGGCAAGAGCTCATCGAACACTTGTCCAATGCGGATGACACGTTCGGCGAACTTTTCCTGGAGGAGAAACCCTTCACAGAAGATGACATCAAGGCGGCGCTGAGGAGAACGTGCATCAATAGGACCTTCACACCCGTTTTGGTGGGCACGGCACTGAAGAACAAAGGTGTGCAGCCACTGCTCGATGCCGTACTTGAATACCTGCCCAATCCCGGCGAGGTGGAGAACCTGGGCTTCGTGGAGAAGGAGGGACAAGAGCCAGAGAAAATAGTCTTAAATCCCGCCCGCGATGGCAAGGATCCCTTCGTGGGATTGGCTTTCAAACTGGAAGCTGGACGCTTTGGCCAGCTAACCTACCTCAGATGCTACCAAGGAGTCCTGCGCAAAGGGGACAACATCTTCAATGCGCGCACCAATAAGAAGGTGAGAATTGCTCGCTTGGTTCGCCTTCACTCCAGCCAAATGGAGGATGTCAACGAGGTCTATGCCGGCGATATATTTGCCTTGTTCGGCGTGGACTGCGCCTCTGGCGACACTTTTACCACCAATCCCAAGAACAATCTGGCCATGGAATCGATATTCGTGCCCGAGCCCGTTGTCTCAATGGCCATTAAGCCGAATAACACCAAGGATAGGGATAATTTCTCCAAGGCCATCGCGAGATTCACCAAAGAGGATCCTACATTCCACTTCTTTTTCGACAACGATGTGAAGGAAACTCTCGTTTCGGGAATGGGTGAATTGCACTTGGAGATTTACGCCCAGCGAATGGAGAGGGAATACGGCTGCCCAGTGACGCTGGGAAAGCCCAAAGTGGCATTTAGGGAAACCTTGGTGGGACCCTGTGAGTTTGATTACCTGCACAAGAAGCAGTCGGGAGGATCGGGTCAATATGCCAGGATTATCGGGGTCATGGAACCACTGCCACCCAATCAAAATACCCTGCTGGAATTCGTGGACGAAACGGTGGGCACTAATGTGCCAAAGCAATTTATTCCTGGCGTCGAGAAGGGTAAGGAAAATTTTTATTTATATTATAAATGATTCCTAAATCTTTGCTTTGTGTTTAGGTTACAGAGAAATGGCTGAGAAGGGAATGCTTTCCGGCCACAAGTTATCCGGCATTCGATTTCGCCTGCAGGATGGTGGCCATCACATCGTGGATTCCAGTGAACTCGCCTTCATGTTGGCCGCCCATGGTGCAATCAAAGAGGTCTTCCAGAACGGCAGCTGGCAAATCCTAGAGCCCATTATGCTGGTTGAGGTTACTGCGCCCGAGGAATTCCAGGGCGCAGTAATGGGCCACCTGAGCAAAAGGCATGGCATCATCACCGGAACTGAGGGAACCGAGGGCTGGTTCACTGTCTACGCAGAGGTTCCCCTGAACGACATGTTTGGCTATGCGGGAGAGCTGAGGTGAGTTTAATCTAATACAAAATTATACGAAAATCTAAAAATATTATTTATACATTTTTAGATCCAGTACCCAGGGCAAGGGAGAATTCACAATGGAGTACTCCAGATACTCGCCCTGCCTGCCAGATGTTCAGGACCAGATTGTGCGCCAATACCAGGATTCTCAGGGATTGGCTCAACCCGACAAGAAGAAAAAGAAGAACTAAATTATTATTTAGACATAGTTCCACCTATCATCTCTACTAAAACAAATTGTTATTGTGTCACCGCTATTTTTGCTTAGTTAAATCTTATTTCATACAACAATCTTCAGTTTTCACTGTGATAAATGCGACTTGTACAGTGTTTTTGTATAATAAAAGAAGACGGAATATTTTAAAAGAGTAAATTTTATTATTTCTGTGAGAATTTTTAAGGGCAACATTGTTTAAGAAAATAATAAATTAAATGTTACACATTGTTCATTCTCAAAAACTGCCCAAATTGTAAATCTTTTTTTTTATTTCTCAAAGAAGTTCTTAAAAAAGGTTCTGTTGTATAATTTTTATTAACGGTTTTTTAACGCTATTAACGAGTACTGAAAAAATATGTTGGTACAAATTTAAGTTTTTGTCGATGGTATAAAAAGATTGTTCTGTAATAATTTAAAAAGCGAAAAAAACAAAAACCATTTTGCAATTATAATTTAAATCACACCAAAGGTAAAATCACTTCAGTTTTAGTAATAACAATCTTTTAATCTGGAAGCTACTATCAAAGTAATTTTTCTAGTATAAATAGGCTTCAGAAAATAGTTAGGTAATAAACAGTTTTTAAAACTGTATAAAAATAAATATAATATTCGCAAAATCAAAAAAATGGTCAAACATCGATAGTCGCCAAGAAACATCGATATTTTAGTCGAAGTTTTCCCATCTCCATTATTATTGCGTTAGGGAATTTACAGTTGGGATTTTGGCAAAATTTCGAAACTTCGCTTTGTATTTTGCTTTTGTTGTTGCGTTTTGTTTTTGCCTGCGTTCGGTTGATTCGCGGACGGTTTTCCCTGGAAATAGCTGAGAAAATGCAAACTGAGGCGAGATAAGAGGAAAACTGCCCCACCGACAGGTGCCGAAAGTGTAAACGAAGCGAGGGAAAGCAAGAAAATAAACCGACAAGCGACAACAATTAGCGAGCGAATAATACGCTGAGTTTCCCGAAACAATAACAACAGCGTAACCACAACAAAAATTTAACTCAATTAAAAGAAAAGGCAACGGGGGGAAATGCAATTGAAATGCCCAGAACATTTTTGAAGTGTGCCGATGTGTTTGCGTGGAAATGGAGCGATTTGTGATTGCAGCTTTTCTCTTGTCTAGTGCTTTCCGCTGCCAGAAAAGTGGGCGCAGGAAAATCGCTAGCGATTCGTGAGCAGGAAAGAGAAAATTCGGGGAAAATTCAATACAAAAAATCGCGGAAAACAAAAACGCAGGAAAAATAGAAGAGAGCGAGACGGCGAGAAGGAAAATAAATATCTTTTGTGCTTGTGTGCGTCAGTGTGTGCGTGTGCAGAAGGAGAAGATCAAAGCGAAACGACAAAAACAACAATAACAGTAACAGAAACAAAAACAAGACACACAGCTGACTTGACTTCCTCTCTCTCTTTCCTTCCTGCATACACTGTTCGAAAAATAATAGTTACTTTTGCAAATGCCATGCAAAATCCAACAACAACGACTACTTCCAATCGCCGGCTTTTAAACTAGTCAACAAAACCATAAAATAACTAAAAAATCAATACAAAGCACACATATCCAAAAGTCGACAGCAAATAATTAATATTCTAATCAACAAAGTAATCTACAAAACGAAAAGAAAACAAAACTAAATTTTTAGTAGCCGAGTAGCTGGAAATATAAAAAATACATCACAATGGATTGGATCATCAACGATGAGATGGGCCTTACGGTGGGTCATATTGTGGGCTGGGCCGCCGCCTCTGCGATGGTGATTGGGGGCGTTATCCCCTACGTTCCGCAATATATCGAGATCAAGAAGACGCAGGACGCGGAGGGATTCTCCCTATACGTATGCCTCGCCCTGCTGGTCGCCAATTCGCTGAGAATACTTTTCTGGTAAGACCCTTATTCTATTTTGTCCAAAAAAAAGGTTTTCCAAATGTCTTAAAATTAGATTGTTAAAAGATAGATTCCTAGATATAATGTCAGAAAAAAGTTAGATTACAAAAGCAGAAATATAAACAGTCTAAATTTGCAAGTATTTTAGGCCAAAATAATACAGTTTATGAGCAATAAATCAATCAAGAAAGGAAAGACGAATTTATATATTGCACGTGCTTATTTCTCTTTGACTATACAGCATTCACAAATAAAACAAACCATTTTCAAAGGCAAATAAACATCTGCAATATTTCCTTCTTTTTTAATGGGTACTTAAAATGGTTCACACATTGTTCAAATCTATTTATTGTCTGAAATCGAACATCTTGGCTTAAAATTTAAATTCTAAAATTTATAAAGGTGTCATAGGTCTTTTTAGGTACATATTGTAATTTTATGTACTTAATGCTTAAACTCAAACACCTCGGCTTTATTTTAAAATCTTTAAAATTTAGAGCGGTGTTCTGTAATATCTTTAGGTACTTGCAAACTCTCTAAGTAAACGCCTTCCCATTATTATCTTGCCTATTATGGGATGACTAAACCCACTCTGCAAACACCTCGTATCTCGGCTTATCTGGGGGTTATACAAACCGCTTATCGCTCGGAATTCTCCCGCGGTCCGTCGCGACATTTTACGGTTTCCACCACTTGAGACCCCCTATCTGTGTATAGCTTCGTCATGATTTCTAGTCGATTTCGCAGACCATAGAATTCCAAAAAATTGTCCAAGGACTATTGGACTGGTTTTATCTTTATTGGACGCGCTGCGATATGGTATTTGGCACAATGTCATCGATAATCGCCATTTTCGCTGGGGTTTATGACAATTATTGGAAGATTTATCAGACCTCATGCTGATTGGGGAAAATGATTCCCGGGTGAACTGGTGTTTAGTGAGATGATTGATAAGAAATTTACGCCCAACTTGTGTTACTGTAGCTTTGGAAGTCAAAACACAAATTTCGATTCTCGGAACTCCTCCCATTTCTGCTTAATAACTTGAAAACTAAATTATCATGGAAAAAATATGAAGTGATTCGCTCTTACAGTGAATACCTCCCTTAAAAAGTTGATTCATCGTTTAAAAGAGAGATATAAATCAAAATTAATAAAATAAATTTTTAATTCAATTTGTATGGGTGTGCAAAATAGCTTTCAAAATGTGACAATGCCATTTAAACCAGTCGAAACTGCTTCAGCAACCAAACAAACAAAAATATAATTGAATTTACCTAAACGTTATTGTTTATTCGGAACATACTTTGATATTCCATTCAATCTAAATAATTGTGATTTTGTTCCAACGGAACTAGACTATTTTTGAGGCTAGCAACTCCAACTCGCCTTTAAAACCCAGGGTCAACTACTTTTGCCCATCTGGTTTTTAAGTTTATTTTTGTTTACCCCGCTTAAAGCCGCTTCTGTTATGGTGTTTTTAAGACCCAACGCTTCCTATAAATAAATTATTAACAAGGCAAGTGAAACGTGAACAAAAAATATAGGAGCAACTGGTGGCCTCATCGACGCCGTCAAATTGTCTGGCCTGGGTGGCAATCAATAAATTAATTATTAAGCTAGAAACTGTTGCCGGCGAGCAAAGTGAATCAGCTGTGCAACAACGAGGCTTTGCGCGGAATAATCCCAATACTATATTTTTTATATATAGATTTTTACGATTCTTGGTGGAGAGGCGTTTTTTCTTGACACGCGATGAGTTTTGATGGGTTTTATGAATAAAAACAACCTGGGGGGTTTAATAATGCATTAGGAAACCTTCATAGGAAGTAGTTTTCAAATTATGCACGACTTTTTAAAGTGCATTCGGTAATTAGTATTTTCCGTTGGACTTTTTTTTCCGGCGCAAGATAATTGTTATTATTCTGACTAATCGCGGCGATATGGATAATCCCCTACAAACACCCACACACTTTGCAACAAAATGCACGAAACACTTAAACTATTTTAGTCAATTTTTTTGTGCATTCACTATAAATTGCTAGCAATTACAAATAATTATTTAATATGTTAGAGATATAAAGTGTACAAATATACAAGGTTACTCCCAGGGGAAAACTTTCCCAACAAAAAGATAGGAACAAAGCGAGTGACACATTCGAAGCGAAGTCTTTATTGAAATAATTGACAGCGTGGCTGCCTTTGTTGTTGATCGTCAAATATGCATATTTAACAAAGAATTAATCACAAACCTCACAGTATGATATGAATAAATATAAGTGAAAACTGAAAGTTCTAACCAACGGATAACTAAGTAAATCTAAAGTCTACACTAGGCCTTCTGTATGAGCTCACCGTTTTTAAATAATTGTGATTGGTGTAAAATCGAGGCAGCTATTGTTTTTTACGTGATACGAACAGATTCTACTCATAAGATAACAAGTTTGGAATTTTTTCAAGGGCTTTTAAACTGATGTAGGAAGTAAAGCATTTTCTTGATTAATATTTTACCTATCTTATCTAAATTATAAATCGTCAATGGTGACTAATGTGTTAAGATTCATAAATTTATTTATTTTTCGAGCGTCTTGAAATTACAACGTTTTACTGATTTAGTCAACTTACAAATAAAATACGGCTAAATGTAGGCGTTAAATGATAAATGAATCAGATTATCTGACTATTAGCTGCTGACCGAAAGCACTGCGTATAAAGAAAACACATAGCCCTATATATTCACCTAAGTTTATTTATTTAACTGTCAGAGCCAACAAAGCGGAGTCAAATTTCGCAAAAAGGTTTCCTCGCATAAAAAACGCCAACATTATGACTCAATAAGTTGGCCAGGTCAGTGGGGCGTGACTAAACAAGTCTGCATTATAATTTACACTTTCATTCCAGGCATATAACAATGGATGTGAATATAGTATACAAACGGTTAGTTCGGCTCAGGCACAGTCATTTCTATATTTATAATTTTCATGCCAGCATTTGCTCAAATATTTACACAATTTGTCAGCCTGACTGAATACACGAGCCGTTTTAACACTTAACAAATTAATAAAACTGAGGCAACATTCGACAGTAATTAAAATTCTATAGTATAGCCTAAAATCTGAATATTCATTCACATATGGAATTTTCCTTTATATTTCAGCTACAAACTCACTTAAAATGTTGCAAAAATTGTTCCGGCCAAATGCCATTTGAAATTGTTGCCAACTATTCGTATTACTTATACAACTCAATCTGTGGGGAAGTGAAGGGTTACAGCTTGAGAACTTGGGGGTTCATTGAACTTATTTAAAGCAATTATATGAGAATCAAGTTTCAGGGGAATGTGGGGGCCTTTAAAAGTTAAACAACCAAGAAGGAAACGTAATAACCTGCAAAGTTGCTGACTAATTGGGTTCTTCTGTATAAAGTAACTCAGGCATTATAGCGAATTATATTTAATCACGTTTTAAATAGTCATTTTAAGGATGACTTATAGTGACTAGTAAAAAATTAAGAGAAATGTGAAATTATACAAATTCATAACCATTTTAACCACACAGTGAAAAGGAATGTACACTATTTTTAAATGTAGAAGTAAAATAATGGGAGTAAAGCTGATAATAAATTTAAATTGATTATTATTTTGAATCGGAATATTTTTTATAAACACTTCCGCTATTGATAGCAAAACGGCTATACTATACATATAGGGATAGTTCTTCGGTTTTCCATACAATCTACTCGACAATTTCCAAGCAATCAGTTGCTGGTAAAATGCACCATTCCCAGTAAATGTTTATGATGTTTGCGTAAAGCGGGCACAAATCGACTTTTACTTGAGGAGCTCTTCAAAGAGCTCTTTCTTATCACTATTGTACAAAGGGAGTGTGTATGTGTGTATAAAGATAACCCAAGTCTCGCCATCAGGCGATGATTGTGTGTCTACTCCAACCAATTAATTTATTTACGTAAATACTTATCAAAATAATGCGCTCCCTAATACCGTAATCTAATGATATGCCCAAAAAGATAAAGATATCTACAAATGTCACACGCTTTCGCCCAATTATTTGGTAATTTTAAATTTGCTTATCAATAAATGATTTCAAACAAAAACGAAAAAAGAAATGAAGACACTTTTCAATCTAATCTAAATTTTTTAATTATTTATAAGGCAGTCCCAACTTTCATTCACATTTATTTATACAAGCTTTGTCCCACTTTCCTTGTTTATTTATTATTAATACTTACGACTGGATGGGAAAAATGAAAAAACTTTTTTCCAAAGGCAAACAACTTTATTGGACATTTTCTCGCCGAAGGTCAAGGTTTGTGGGCGGAAACTGGGAGGTTTGCTGGAAAGACTATACCAATTAAGTTTTCGGGGTATTTTTTTTAGGGGAAGGACGGGATCTGCTTGATATTTGCTGACCAGCAAACCGAGCTGAGTACGGCCCATAAATGTTTACGGTTTTTGGTCTGCCGATGTTGCTTTTTTTCGCATGGCATGCAAATTATTTTTTTTTTTTAATTTCTGAACCGGTCACGACCGCGAAAGTCGATGTAGTTGATAATATTGTTGCTGCCGGGGCTCTGGTTTTTATCAACGATAAAAAGCCAATCTATATGTATTATTATTTTTTTGTGTTTCCCATTTAGGCTGTGGCACTTGTCTCATCGTTGTTGAAATCTTGCCCGGTTGGTTGGCAACTTAATTGTGGTTATAGCGACAGGGAAAGATTTATAATTTCGATGGGGAAGTTGTCTCGGCACGAGTTTGCTTGTCAACTTTTAAGAGCACTTGAAATTCAAGTTGCATTTGTTGCAAAGTTGTTGAGAAGCTACAAAAGTTTACGTAATCATTTTCTGATTTTAGGCACACACATACCAATTTTATAAACTGCTCAAAATAATATATGGGAAATATTTATAGATGATTTGTTCAGAATATTTATAATAATAATTATTTAAACTAAAAAATATATCGAATATATAATTAA